TCAGGGTATCACGTGTGCAGAGAAAAGGAATGAGGAAGAGTCTCGGGGTGGGTTGGAACAGGTTGAAACCAAGGGCAAGAGACCAGTAGGGGGTTAGGGTAGAGGCCTACACCTCGAGCCCTTTCCAGCCCCTCCGGGACCCTAGAGCCACCTGCAAACCCCTGCCACTCTCCTTCTTGCTGGAATTCGGGAGCCACGGCAGGCAGGTGTCCTCTGGGCCTCCGCTCCCACCCGCAGAGGCCTTCTGTCCCGCGGGTGACACCTTGCTCCTGGTGCCTAGCTTCCATTCTTCCACCAAGATTGACCCCTTCTGCTCCCCTTTGTTTATGCTGCCTTAGAACTTTCTGCCCAAATCTCATATTTTAGTGCTTTCTTATATTTAATAAAGGTTTATTCAATCAGCAAATCCTTATCGATTGAGTGGCTACTAAATGGCACGGACTGTGCTGCCCTGTGGACGTAGCAGGGGGAGACGGACAGTAGCGGGTTATTGGGGAAGTGCTGTAAAGTGACATTTACGGCACCGTAGATGGAGACTAACTGGTGTCGAGGGATGCCTGTCTGCGGCGGTGACAATTAAGCTGAGGTTTGAAGGATGAGAAGGAGGCGGCCATCTGAGCGCCGGTGCAGGGAGCCTTCGAGGCAGCAGCACAACACTGCACGAAGACTCTAGGCCCAGGAGGAGCCTAGAAATGGAAATGGTAATGACAGTGGAGAGCAGAGCAGGGAGGTCCTGAGGGTCACGGAGGGATTCAGGGTTCAGCGGGGAGCCTCTGCGGGGCTGAGAGCAAAGGGAGAGGCGGTCTTTCTGCTCGGGCAGCTGTGTGGACAGCGGATGGAGGACGGAAGGACGAAAGGAAAGACCCGCCGGGGAGCTCCAGGTGCAACGGGGTGGCCAGGGCCAGAGGGGTGGCGGTGGAGGTGGAGAGTCGGGGCCGGGCCGAGAGATACTCGGGGGCGGCCACATTGAGGCCTTGGTGGTGAGGATGAAGGGAGCGGAGGGGCTCGGAGAGCGTCCCGGGTTCCCAGCATGGGGAGCAGGCGGGAGGGGCCGGGATCCCATTCAGCGAGATGAGCCCGGCAGAGACAGGGACCCGTTGCCGCTGGGGAGGGGAGGCCGAGGAGAAGACGTCCCTTGCGAACATACTAAGTTGGAGGCGACTGTGAGTCATTCCCATGGAGGTGCTGGGCCTTCAGAGTGTAAGTGCGGAGCAGAGAAGAGTCCAGCGTGGAGATGGACGTTTGGAAATATGAATGGAATGTGGACGTGGGGCTGCCATACAATTCCTCTGTCAGCTTCCTGAGGCCGCAGAAACAGTCCCCGCAAAACACAGGACTGACCGCAACAGCTATTTACTCTCCTGCTGTCCTGGCGGCTAGAAGTCTGAAATCAAGGTGTGGGCAGGAACATACTCCTTCTGACGCCATTTGGGGAAGATCCTTCCTTGCCCCTTCCACCTGCTGGTGGCCCCAGGCACTCCTCGGCTGGTGGCAGTATAACTCCAGTCTCTGCCTTCATCTCCACGCGGCTGTCTCCCCTCTGCGTCTGTGTCCCTGTTTCCCTCTTCCTGTAAGGACACCTGTCCTGTTGGCTTAAGGGCTCACCCTACTCCAGTGACATAATCTTCACTGGTCACATCTGCAATAACCCCGTCCCCAAATAAGGTCCCGTTGTGAGGTACCGGGGATTAGGACTTCAACATGTCTTTTTTGGCATTTGATACAACTCAACCCATAACGGTTAACCCAGAACAAAGATGAAAAGAGAGGAGACCAGGGGTCCAAGGGCTTTGCCGTCCCACAGCAGCTAGCTAGAGGACAAGCCAGCAAAAGAAACGGAGAGGCAGGACAGCTGTGGGAGCGTATGGTGTCGTGAAAACCACACTGTGTGTTTCAAAACGGGACGAATGTCAACCGTGAAAGAAATACGCAGCTCTCGGGTCAGAGAGGGAAGTTGACCCGTGGATGCGACATGACAACGTGACCCTGGGGGTTCGGATGGGCGTGGCCCCTGAGTGGAGACCCCTCAGTGGAGTCCAGTAGGAGACAGGTGGCAAGACGGGAGGTGGGGGGGCGGGGGGCACAAAACAGTGGAATTGCAGGAGACCCCCGTGAGGTTCGGAATAGGGCGACACCTGCAGGGACACGGAGGGCTGGAGAAAGGACTTGCTTTTGTGTTTGCTTCGCTTTGTTCTCGTGTGCTGTTTTAGTTCTTAAAATGGGAGATGCTGGAGCATGTCCGTATTGCTTGAATTAGCTCTGTCTTCGTGTCTGCAGGTTTGGCTTGTATACCAGTAGTATATTCGACCTCATTTGTCACGTGTGCTGGTGTTGGCGTCCAGCACTGGGGCCCCTAGGGGACAAGACTCCGTCTCCTATTTCTTTTGTCCCCCGGCCATCTAGCCTGACACTTGAGCATTTGTTCATTATGGTCACAGCAAGAAAACTATCCTGCTGTACATACCCTGGTGCCACGCATGGCTACCACTTCACGTTCTAACAGAAAACAGGTAGAGGGACGCCTGGGTGGCCCAGTCAGTTAAGCGTCCGACTTCAGCTCAGGTCATGATCTCATGGTTGGTAAGATGGAGCCCCACATCAGGCTGTCTGCTGTCAGCACAGAGCCTGCTTGGGATCCTCTGTCTCCCTCTTTCTCTGCCCTTCCCCCATCCTTGAAATAAATAAACTTAAAAAAAAAAAAAAAAAAAAAAAAAAAAAAAAAAAAAAGAGAAGAAAATGGACCGAGAGCCGTCTTCATAGGCCCTATTCACATAACGTCAGTTGACAAAAACCATGGCTGGTGTTTCTTGCCAGAGCACGTCACTGAAGCGTCACTCTTGTGTGTCGGGTTCTGTCTTGCACATCCTCAGGGAACAGAAGCCAGGAAACGGATTTCCACGGGTTCCAAGTGGCCTGCTTAGGGGCATGAGAACCAGGTGATTAACCTGATAGGAAGGTTGGCCCCATGGTCGAATCCAGAGATGTCCCCGTGAGACCAGCCCAGGCTGTGTTCCTAAGACCCGACCTGGAGGCTACGAGGGGCAAGGGTCCCGGTCACAGGAACAGGGAGACAGAGGTGCGGAGAAGCTTGTCCTGTGTCAGCAGCCTGCCCGAGGGGGGCTTCGCGGGAACCGGGACAGGACATCTTCTCCAGAGAAGAGGTCTGAGTCTGCATGTGGGAGGAGGCAGGTGGACACGCCGACCCTGGAGCAGAGAGGGCAGAAAGGAGGGCAGGTTCTGACACACACCTAGTAAGAGTGTGTGGTTTTCTCTGTCATGTTCTTTTCGGATGTGTTGTTGTTGTTGTCATTGTTGTCGTTGTCGTTTAAATAATCCACAACACAGGACAGTCCAGCAGAGACGTACCTGGAACCAGCACGGGCATCCCTGGTGCGGCCGCGCCACAGGGGCAACAGCAGCATCCCGTGTTCCCGCGCACAGTCAGCACCTGGGATGGGAGGACACAGAGACCACAGAGCTAGGGTGCAGCGCCAGGCTGAGCCTCCATGCCAGCAGTGAGCTGAAGGTTAAGTAGGGCCAGTGGCAGCTTGCACCCCCCCACACACACACCCAGAGTAACTCCCTCCCGCCAAGCCTGGGAAGAGACCCACCCAGCCCTGGACTCTGGCAAAAGGATGTCGTGCACCCAGACTGATGACCAGGGCACTCTAGAAGCACCCGGCAGCAGTGCTGAGTCTCCAGCCCTAAGAAAGCGAGGGCACTCCTTCTTCCGAAAAACCAAGACGTTGTGACAAAACATGTTGGGTTTTGTTTTTCGACGTTGTTATCTAGAGCAAAAAGATCAGCAACGAGAGCAAATGTAAAAAAGCATAGGGAGATGCTTTCTTAAGTGGGGGAGATTCAGCTTGACACTCCCAAGACGAGTGGGGCTGTTTTGGCCGCAGCCTCGCTCCTTCCTCCTGTGCTAGCTGGTGAAGATCACCCAGACAGAGCCGCCTCCCCAGCTCCCACTGCTCACGTGCCAGGCTCCCGAAAGGGTAGGAGAGTGGCATCTTCTGGCATTGCTTAATCAAGTGGGAAATTTACAGAGAAAACAGAAGCTGGGCTAATGCATTTCATTATCAGCCGAGCGCCTTGAGCCACGTTTTTTCAAAGCTGGGTTCATATCTCATACATTTGAGCGTGGTTTTCTCCAAAACGTACCCCTACTTCATCACGACACGTTCTTGGAAAAGAAAGGGCGCCGTGTGGTCTCCTTGGTTTTCGTTACTAACTGCGTGTGAAAATTTCCCTCTGAGTTTAGGTGGTTTCCTCCAGAAGCTCCAGCATGTAACCTTGTCTATCATGTGAAGGGACATAATCCCACAGGCAGGAATGGGTTTATAATGGAGTTCTGACTGGTACCCAGACTATAGACTCATGAACGGGGTTGTATAACTGAAATATTTGAAGACATTTTAGGAGACTAACTTTTTCAGAAGCTGATGATAAAAAATAATAATAATGTTTCCTTACAAAAGTGTGATTCAGACTCCTAAGAAGGGGGAATCATTGACATTAACAAATATTGGATTTAATCCCCTTGTTCTGGGTAGAGGCGACCTGTTTTCTATATTGCTGAAAATAGAACATCTATATTTCAGAACTCCTTTGTAAAAACTGGGCATTCTCTATGATTGGTTTCCTGGGTTTTCAGTTACAAAAGGTAACTCCCAGGTATCTCTAAAGCGGTTATTAGCTCATCCGACTGGAATATAATGGTAATGAAGTCAATGGACGTGGTTCCCTTAGATCTCTTCTAGAGCCACAGATCTACCCTTCATCTCAGCCAGTCATCTGACCATGCTCCCTGCCGACAGGGAGGACCAAGCCCAAGAATGGAGGGATCACTGCCACACAGTGCAAGAACCACAGGCCCTTTAGAGGGGAGCAGTAATGGCACCCCAGATTTGAAAGATAGGGTTTTATGTAGAATTCATACACAAATTGCTACCTGCACTTTCAAGTTGCTAATGATTTCTCTCGTTCTTCCTTTGCAGGGCCCCTGAAATCATCCTTGGTCTACCATTTTGTGAGGCAATTGATATGTGGTCCCTGGGCTGTGTCATTGCTGAGCTTTTCCTGGGCTGGCCGCTCTATCCAGGAGCTTCTGAGTATGATCAGGTGGGTCCAGATAGCTCAGGTGTTCACAGTAAGCATGTCCTTTATAACATGACCTGTGGGTGGGATTGTGGGGTGTTTCCTTGTCTCTGAAACCTTGCTTCCCATAACTGCTTTTCTCTTATTCCTCTTTCTTTCCCCTCTTGCTTCTATTACTTCTTTCTTTCCCTATAAAATTGTCATTTTTCTCAAAGGCACTAGAGCCATTAGTATACCATATGTCCAGTTACAGGAAACGCCCTGACCTCATTCTCCTCTTTTCTTGCAGATTCGGTATATTTCACAAACACAGGGTCTGCCAGCTGAATATTTATTAAGTGCAGGGACAAAGACAACTAGGTTTTTCAACCGTGACACAGATTCACCGTATCCTTTGTGGAGGCTGAAGGTAGGAAGAACGTCCCCACCACTCCTCACCCATGCCCAACACTCAGGGAAGAAGGGCACCATCCAGTTGGCGGGGAGCTCTTGCCATTGCCACACTGATCCTACTTTGATTCGGCCAAAAGCCCGGGAGAGGGGGCGACCGTTGTTGATCCATGAGGTAGATGAATTCGAATGTCCGAAAGAACCGCTTTGTTTGGCCAGCTGCCTGCGAAGCTCAGATCCCAAGTTCTGGTGGCTAAACTCCTGGGATGAAATCCCAGTGAACCATAATGACTTGTCGGGTGTGTGCTAGAGAGAGAAATGAGCCCCACCTTGTCCTCGAGGAGCTCCTATTCCAAGGACGTATGCAGGGAGCCCCCCACCCCTCCACCCCGCCGTCACAAGTGCCCCGTTGCTGGTAGGGGTAGAGTGTGGGGCCAAGAGGAGGGAACCAGAGGGTCAGGAGGAGCATTTGAGCTGGGCCCTAAAGGGGGAAGAGTGTCTTCCAGGCAGAGGAAATGGCCTCAGAGAGATGACGTCCTAAGGCTCCGGGAGGGGTCTGTCTGTCCCGGCCGGCAGGTGTATAGCACATCACTGCACACTGTCAACTCCCGAGTGGTTTTACTTTAATGCAAACGTATTTTGCTTTCACTTTGATCTGTGCCTAGCAAGGAAAATTAGTGTATTTTCCTGAGAAGGGGAAGATAATGCAAGTCTTAAGTATGCTTTGTGTTCATTTTAGGTAGTTTTTTTTTGTTGTTGTTTTTTGGGGGGTTTTTTGACAAGAGAGTGGGTGGGGGTTTTTTGTTTGTTGGGGTTTTTTTTTTTTTTGTATGTTTGTTTGACAAGAAACCACAGCCAAATTCTAATAGGATTTAAAGATAACGTGTGGCCAATAGTTGCAGAAGATCTAGAAAAGAGATTTGAGAGCTAAGCAAGCACTCCGAGGCTGTTGATGAGGGGGCTGGCATTCGACAACTGTGAGAGCTAGCAGCTCAAGGTCACGTCCAGTAAAAAAGAGTTCGGGGGTGGAGGAGGGTGAGGCCAGGCAGGGGCAGGGTTCACTTTTATGTCTTCATCTGGAGCCTCGGTCCTCCTTGTCCAGCTGTTTCCGGGATCAGAGCCTGGATCCTAGCAGCTCCTGGTATGCCCTCCTTGAGTGACAATGTGAGCATCCATGGATGCATCCAGAAACCCACAGTAACTGGAGACAGCAGCTTCCTAGACCAAGGCCAGTGCAGGGCACGTGCATGGTCCAGCCTCAGGCAGAGGGGCAGCACAGAACAGACGCTGGGGCCAGATGCTGCTTCCCGGCCACGCGGCCTTGGCACACTCCTGGAGCTTGCTCTTCCTGCTTCTTCCCTGGAAAGTGGGTCGGTGTTTGTCCTCCCTAGGATGGTTGTCAGGAGTACCGAATGAGTTCTTGTGCTTTACAATTGTGCCTGGCATGCGGTGACAGCTATCTGTATGAGAGCTTGAGAAATAAAATTAAATTACAACTTAAAACCATGTGGAAAAGGGCTTCTGCTTTTCCACTTGTGGAATCTTACCTTATCCCTTAAACTTAGGGGAGAATGTAGGGTTTTCAGGGATATGGCATATCTTGGCCATCTTGGAACCTTCTGGATATGATTCAGAGCAGGCTCTCGACAGGTCTTTGTGGGAAGGAGAGAAGAGAGATGAGTTAGTGTGGAGGACGAGTTAAGTGTGCAGGGCACTTTAAGAAGAATCCGAGTGTCCTCTGAAAGATGGGAAAAAGACCCTCCGTGAGAAGCAGAAACCAGGGTTTGAGTCACAGTGAACAGGAAATAATTCACATGACCACTCAGCTTTTGCGTCTTTTGACCAGACACCAGATGACCATGAAGCAGAGACGGGGATTAAGTCGAAAGAAGCAAGAAAGTACATTTTCAACTGTTTAGATGATATGGCCCAGGTAAGCCCCATGGGTGAGTATGCAGTCCTACCCCTTAAAAACCAAGCACAGCAAGAGTTCTGCGTAATAGAAGATGGCGGGTAGAAATTCACATTACTCACCTGCGGTGGTCGACGTTGACCTTGAACAATGATAGGTCACTCCTAGTAAGAATAGCATTGGGTTGGTGCAGCATTTTCAGAACCTTACAGCCGCCCTTTACTGGTTCCCATTTGTAAAAAAAAAAAAGAAAAAAAAAAGAAGAAAGAAAGAGAGAGAGAGAGAAAGAAAGAGAAAGAAAGAAAGGAAGGGAGGGAGGGAGGGAGGGAGGGAGGGAGGGAGGGAGGAAGGAAGGGAAAGTGCTAGCCAATCTTACTGATGTTTTCATGAGAAGAATTCAAGATCGTTAGTACATCTGAGTTTACTGCCCACGACTCAGTGTATTGGTTCCCAAGGACTGCCCTAACAACGTACTGCATGCTGGGTGGCTTCAGATAGTAGATATTTATTCTCCAACAGTTCAAGAGGCTAGAAATTTGACATTAAAGTACCACCGGGGCCATCCTCCTCTGAAGGCTCTAGAAAGAAACTGTCCCATGCCTCAGTCCTAGCGTCCGCTGGCCCCTGGCAGTCCTCAGTGTTCCCTTGATGTGTAGCTGACTGATCCCAACCTCTTCACCCTTCTTCCTATGGCCTTTATTCCTGGATTTCCTCTTGTCTCTGTGCCCAAATCTCCCTCTTCTTTCTCTTATAAAGACACCAGTCACTGGATTTGGGACTCATCCTATTCCAGCTCACCAGAGGGATCACAGGTTCTCTCACCTTTGTGCCCAGAGAAAATTCTAGAACTTCAGCTGTTTTTAGTGTAAGGACTAGTCTAAAAGCAGGGCAACCTAAAGAGTCTTTCCTAAAAGCAACGAGAAGTACAGCACTAGACCAATAAACACTAAGCACACTTCTTCCTGAGGGTGAGTGGAACCAGAAATCACGATTTGAGTAAAGGGTACTTGTCAGTTGATTAGAAGCCTAGATTGTCTGAGAAAACTGAAATTACTTTCCATAGCATGCCTTGGAAAATAACGGAAAGCACCACACAACAGGCCTTTCAAAAACCATCCGAGGCTTACTCTTGGAAGAAGAATCCTGGGTTCAGATACCCTGCTGTCTTGGCCAGAGGTGATCCCAGTGAGCACAGGGGCTAAAACAGTTCTGGCGTTAACACAGGGCACTACCAGAGGACAGATAACACTGTAGCTGGAGGAAGAAGGTTGGCCTCTGAAGGTTAAATGCATAACCCTTTTTGCATTTCATTTTTTACTACTTGGTTGTAGTTCTCGTTTTTTCAATTGTGGTAAATTATACATAGCATAAAATTGGGGCACGTGCATGGCTCAGCCCATCAAGTGGCCAACACTTGTTCTCAGCTCAGGTCTGGAGCTTGGAGTCTTGAGTTCAAGCCCTGCCCCAGGCTCCTTGGCGGGTGTGGAGCCT